TAGTTTTCATACCCTGATCCTAGTGAGCTTCTATACACTGAACCAGGTAGTTACAAAGCGATTAGCATGTTGAAGAAACTCAAGCCTATCTTATACATCCTTAAGAGATAAAGGATAGTTGAATTTCAGTGTCAGGAAATATTGGCCCAACATTTGCTCCTTCTCTTCAGGATTTAAACCCCAATATAATCATTATACTGAATACAATTTATCTAAAGCTGCAAGAGGTGCAGGACAGGGCTAAATTATTTTCATCTGAGAAAAGGGCAGGCTGCTGCCAGCTGAAGCATGGACAGCTGAATCCATTCCTTGCACTAAAAAATGTAGATAAAAGGATATGATCTCACCAGAGTAGATTTCTTAAATATTTTAGCCAGTCCCAATCTCAAAATGTTCAAAATGCAGTGCAGAACATTTTTCATTTAATATAGATAATATTATCTAATGCATTGAAAACCCAGCAATAGACAATTTCTAATTAGATGGTGTTGTTATCAGAGTGTACAAAGGAAAAGATTTAACACAGGACACATAACACATAGGACTATTTTATAATATTCGCCCAAAAATTAAATGTAAAAGAGTACAGGAGATCTTCATACTAGAGATCCAAAGAATCCAACTGAAAGCCTGGATCTTGCAGCAGTGTCCTACAGGAGACCAGTTGAAGATACAGAGTCCTTGGCAGTGTCCCCTGTAAGTCCAGCTTGAGGGCACAACAGTGTCTCATACAAGTCTGTATCAAGGATCCTCACTGAGAAGGTCAAAAGCCAGTCAGTGGTAGAAGCTAGCAAGTGGTAAAGGATCGGTGCTGTCAGGCTGAAGGATCTACACTGGAGCCAGGAAATGATGCTCAAAGTAAGGGCCAGAGACTTCCCAAAGAGAACCACAGCCATCCTCAGCAACACTGAGGACCCAAAGTCCTCTGAAGATGAAAACAGTTGTGTTCATATCAGGAAAATCAGTGCAATAAGCTTCTCCAGGAGGATCAACTGGAGGAGATCTTCCCTTCCAGTTCCGTTTTTATGCTGTTGACAATAATCCTCAGCTGAGCTTTCCACACCAGCACCGCTTAATTCAGTTCAGCTGGGTGTTGCAAGCTGGCCATTTAGTTAGTCCACAACAGAAACTACTGAATTAAACTACTGAATTAAGAGCTTTATGGTAGTCAGCAAGGGTGGACAAGGGGCAAAATTTAACAACGTTAAAGAAGGGCCCACCAAAGGTCAAACCAGTGTGGACAGAGGATAGAGGAGGAAGCCAAATCGTATTTAAGACTAACACAACCTCCTCATCCCCCCCAAGAAAAACCAATGTACAATTTTCCCTTATGCTTCTTTCTAGGTTGTAATCAATAAAAAATGCCCGTGTTATATGTTTAGTAAAAGGGTCACAACGGATTATCAAAATACTAAGCAGAGACAAAATTGGAAACTCAAGCATATTATTTTTGAAAAAGGTAACTGTGAAACACTAGGTTTCATAAATACTGATCAAATGGTTAGTGTACTGACCTTTTTTCAAGGGATTTGTACGATATCTTGAATTCTTTCATTAAAGCAAGGTCAAAAGTTTTTAAAAATAAAAAAAATAAACAAGCAGGAAAATGAAGTAGGAATGACTTTTTTCTCTCAGATCAGAAACCTCTCATGGAACCACTCTGCAAAGACCTTGAACCTGGCCTCATAATCCTTGACTAGGCTGTCATTCATTGTCAGTACACTGAGGTTAGCATTCAAGATAAAAAATTTTGGTCAATCAACTGGTAGAATGAACTTGTGAGAAGGATTTTATTTTTTTGTCTTCATATTACAGTTTCAGAGATTTGCCTATATAAAAATATCCACAAACTGTTAATGTGCAAGTGGCAAAAGAATAAAAATCATTTTTATAAGTTGATTATTTTCAAAAGAATAAAAGTAATGTGCAAAAGTATACTGCATTTTACTTTTCCCTAAAAATTATCTTGTGAATTTTTGATTAGTTAAATAGCTATAAAAAAATAAGTATTTAATTTTAACAATGCAGAGAGGCAAGTAAATAGTTTCTCTTTATTTAATAGGGTATATTCCAAAAATCCTACTGACTATTTTAAATCACAGTGATGAATGTTCTAAACAGTGTTTTTTCTCATATACATAGCTAAATTTTAATTAATAAATTAGGAACAGAAGATTGACAGTAACAATTCTAAATAAACTAGAAAATTTTAATTACTGTAATAAAAGTTATATGACTGTTGCCTTTCTCTTTCATATTGTATACACTTTCTTAGTGATGATGTGGGATGACCCAATGCTGACAACATGAGATAATGTGAGTTATGAAGGCACTGTGCTATAGCACTGAGATATTATATAAGGAAAACTTGGACAAAAATATTGCAATACTATGATAGGTGATCTATAACCAAGACTACTGAGGTACTAACAAGTGAGTAGCATATATAACATGGACACATTTGACTCAGGAATGATTCATGCCTGAGGTAGGATGGAATATGGTCTAGATTTCATTCTGTTATCCAGAATTATATGTTATTTAAAAGTAAAAAAAAATACTCCTGGAATGCTCCATTTAATATTTTTAGACCAGATTTTATGGAGAGAAACTGAAATCACAGAAAACAGAAACATAGATAAAAGGCACTACTGTACTGTTATATATAGGATGCAAGAATATACCTTATTATAGATTCTCTAAAGGGAATATTGTTTATAAGAAATAATAAAAGTAAATACTTTGTCAGATATTCCACCAATGCAAATATAATTTGTGAAGACAGGTATATGTCAGAGATTTAGTGACAAGAAACCTTATTGTAGTATAATATAAACACCTAATATGATTAACGCGACCAAGAGAATTTGGTTATGTGACATTTGATGACTGCTATATAGTATTATTTATATCTTTAAGATTATATAGAAATTAAAATTCTACAAAATTATTTATCAACATATCCAAATGTTTATTATGTATTAAATGAAGTGAATGAAAAGTCTTCACAATTAATACATGGTCCAGAATAATCTTCAGGTTAAACTACCATTGGAGATAATTTAATGAAGCTGTTCATTTTTTAATTTTTGCTTGTATCTTTTCTTCCTAATAACTGTAAAATGCTTTAACAATAAAAGTAATTTAATATTTTAAGAAATTGCTGTCTAGAGAAGTTTATAGCTTTTTCCTGATGTATTCACCCACCAAAACTAAACATTCAAAATCATTCCCTTGACCATTGTTTTCAAGAAGAACGATTTCAGTGTGCAACACTGGTAGCCCTCCTGAGTATTACAGTGGTGAGGAATTGAAGAGTATGTCTTAAATCTTCACCTTTTATTCACATATTCTTTGTTCTGTCCTTTTTTTTTTCAATGTACCTCTTCCTTTAAAATCTTCTTTTCTATCCGTTGAAACACTGATGAGAAAATAATTACAGAAGTCTGATCTGAATGATTTTTTAGGTTTGTTCATTACAACCAAAACTGTAAAATAGTGAAAATTTCCCAAGAAATAAGAAAAATACCATTAAGTAGACATTATCCATGTCAGGTTCTTTACAAATAATTTTATTTTTCATGGTGAAAATCATGCTGCATACATGGCTGTATGCCTCATTTTTTTAAAATAGAGGTGAATACAAAATATTTTTTCTGGGATCTATTTTCTTTACGTATAGCTGCTGTGTCTAGTATATTTTGCTTTATTACTTTCTCAAAAATACTATCTCGTGCCTACTACCCATCTATTAAACGTGAATGTGCAATCCAGCAATTATAAGCATGATACCTGCCCTCTTAGTCCAGGGCAGCCGAGGCTCTGAGCTCCTGCACTGTGTGGTGCACCGCAGCTGTCAATAAACAGTATTAGCTGTCGTGGGAAGGGATGCATAGGTGGTAACTAAGGTGCACAGGGAGCAAGAATTGTCTATGCTCAGTTTTGCCCTGATTCTTTTGCTCTTTGATTCCTCTAATATCCCCTAATTGCTTTCCTTCTCTCATGGGAAATAAATAGAATGAGCAAATCATGATTATTGTTCTGCCTGTCAGGTAAATCACACTAAAATACATAACTAAAAAAAAAATCAATTTAACAAGAAAAAACAGAGACCTTGAAATGGTGTCAAGTTCACATAGCCCATTACACTTATGTATTGTGTACTTACTAAAGCCCAGAGGGGGGTCTTTGCATTAAATATATCTTGGAGGAGGCACTGAAGGAGGACTGTTTTCAAAACGTTTAATAACAGAAGCAAAGCAAAAGCTGATCCTTAGGAGGCCATCGGTGGGTTATATGTAAAATCCCTCAGTTGCCTTTTCGGAAGTATCTGACTGGGCATGAGGATAGTGGCAAGCATGATTAATACAGTGGGGGCCCTCCGAAGGTTCGGAACAGTGGCTACTGCTAGTATGAAAGTAATTTAACAGCTGATATAACAAAACTAGTCAGGGAGGAAATATATAACAATATATGGTGATTTATACTCTGGGGAGTACGTTGAAGTGGTCACAAGGGAACTCTTTTTAAAGAGTAGAACCTTGTGTATAGTGGAACATCTGTTAATCTAACAAAAAGTAGAGACTCTAAATCTACTTAGACAATTAGAGAATGAATATTCCATAAGCAGACAACTGAAATAAAATATAAACATTATAGGAATACAAATTAAATATAAAGAAAAAGGGGAAAAGAGAAGAGATTTTAAAACTTTATTGATTGGGCTTGTTAATTGGGCAATCTGAATGTTTTTTGCAAATGAAAAAAGAAGCTGGTCTTGGAACCACACCACTGTAATCCCAGTACTGAGGAGGTTGAAGCAGGAGCATCACTGTGACTTAAAGGCCAGCCTAAACTACGTAATAGACTATACGCTGTCCCCCCCCCCCAAAAAAAAGGAGAAGAAAATAGTCATCCTTTTTAAAGTGCATGTATGAAGTGGTGGTTGTGTACTTGTAATGCATGTGATAATATTTCAATAGCATGTTCTTTTCTTTTAGATTTCCTTATTGGAAAAGGCTGGATTTGGAGGTGTTCTTCTATATATTGATCCGTGTGATTTACCAAAGACTGTGAATTCTAATTATGATACCTTCATGGTGACGTTGAATCCAGGAGGAGACCCCTCTACGCCTGGTTACCCAAGCATTGGTAAGTTTGTTGTTCATCTTTATTATCCTTGTAAGGAAGCATTACAAAGATGCAGCTATTATATGCTAGTTAAATTAAGTGGTAGTAAATAAATCTTACCACTCCATATTTTAAAAGTGGAATATTTTAACTTCTAAAATTACAGTCTATCAATCTAATGGAATAAAGTTTTTAAAGATATGTGAATGTATAACATTTTATCAAAATAAATTGGAGTTCACAGATAGCAAACATTTTATTACTGATTGATTGATATACCCCATGAAGAGAGGATACTCTATGTTCACTGGACGCATCTATGAATATCCAGAAGCATGAACAATCTGCTGGAGTTTGGAGTGCTGTAATTACTGAGTCCTGTTTTAGGACTACAAATTGAGTCCAGAGTCTAGAAGTATATATACTTAGGTTGGCAAATTACTACAAAAAAATGCCGAGAAAAAGAAATCAATATTATCAAATTTTCTGGCCCCCTAAGGAAAGAACCTCTTTGTTGTGGACAGTCACTGGCAGCACAGTTTGCCATCTTTGCATTGAATGTCCGTGCTTTTACCAGCAAGCCACATGACAGCAGGGATCCTGTGGCAGAAAGAGACATTTATGTTTGTGGCAGATGCTTGCTTTATCATTGAATTGCTGTTCAATGTGCCTTTGGTGCAGTTTTGTTTCATGTGTATTGGCTTATGAAAAAGCCTTTTGAACCTTCTTCCAGGATAATTCTAACCAATTAGCCATCACGCTCCAGTCCTTAATTAAGCTGACAGAAATGTGTAATTATCCATACATCACTCCAATATTTTCCTCCTTTCCCCTAATATTACAAAAGACTTTATTAGTAATTTCATTAAAATCCACTTGTGTTTTCTCTGTATATATTAACTCTACTTATAAATTAGTAATATTCTCCAAGAGGAAAGTAAATTGAGTCAAGAATAATAATGTATTTTTGGGTCTACTAATTACAGCCTTATTTTCAAGGCTCCTTTAATAATTGATAGAGGACTTTTCTCTGGGACCTCACTCATCTGTATTTTGCATAGCCCCATGTCTTGGCATTCTCGTTTTGAAATGAGAACTAGTCCTTGCATGTCTGTGGTTCTTAAGTGTCCAGTTCTGGTCCAGTTCTCTCATTTATACTACTCTTGGTAATCATTCTTTAACTTCAGAGGCTACTTCGACAATTTTTGCACATGTGAATGGGCTGTACTAAAAGCAAATTATTTATAAGTATTCTGCTTATTTCGGTAAGTTATCAAATTGGCAACATTTACCCTTAGTAGTTTACTGATAGGTCACTTCAGTGACCTATTAAATGATGAATTTAATATCATCTAAAAAAAGTGTCAACCAGAATTTTTTCTTTACTTTTATTTTGAGATAAGTTAAACTTAGACAATGTGGCAAATGCAGTGTAATATGGAATCTGCATACCTTTCCCCAGCATCCATATGATATGTCAAATAACCATATTCAATTATAAAGTTCACCTTTTTCTTTTTCCTTCTTTTCCCTAAGATGCTATTTTTTCCCTTTAAGCAGATTCTTATCCTTTCACTGTATTTATTGTGTTTTTTGTATCTTATGTACTCTTACCATTTCTTACACTAGGGAGATAATATGGTATTTGCACATGTGAGTTTGATTTATTTCACTTATGATTATGGTCTCAAGTTGTGTCCACACATGATCATTTCTATAGATGCAGAAAAAGCTTTTGATAAGGCCCAACACTTATATGATAAGAACCTTACAGAAAATTTGAGTAGATGTTCTTTACCTCAGTTTGATAAAAGCCATCCTATGACAAACCAACAGTCAGCATCATATTAAATGGCCAAAAACTGAAAGACTTCACCCTAAAACCAGGAACAAGACAAGGATGTCCATTATCACTACTGCTATCCAATACAGTTCTGGAAATACTAGCCAAACTAATTAGACAAGAGAGAGAAATAAAAGGAATAAGGACAGGAAAAAGGCAGATGGCATGATACTCTAAACAGAAGACCCCAAAACTCCATTGAAAAACTCCTTGGTATAATAAATAAACTCAGTAAGTTAGCTGGATACAAAGTCAACACTCAAAAATAAATAGCATTCCTATACACTAACAACAAAATCAGTGAGAGATAAGAGAGGCCACACCCTTCATCATAGCATCTTGACACTTTCAAAGGACATTGACCTGTTAATTTGTTGGTTGTCCCTCAATTGGACTTGTCCAGTATGTCTAATGAATAGATTGGGGTCGTATATTTTTAGCATGCTACAAAAGAGAACTTTCATTCTCTTCATGTGTATAAACAGGTTCACTCTCTTGATACATCTCATGTCACATGATACTTACATAGATCCTAAAGTCCTGGTAGTGTTGATCAATTCTCTCTGCTATTAATTTTTCTTTGAAGTGAATGAGTGTCCTTTGGAAAGATGCTATGATAATCTAAGTATCTTCTTTCTTGTCACACTGTCCCCTACAAATTTGAGAAACCATGATTAATTGACTTTTGTCTGTAAAAGTTAACGAGGTGTTTGTCAAATGCTGGTTTTTGGGTCCATTATCACTTTAGAACATTTCTAAAAGACACATCTGTACAAGATGAGTAGTCATAATTTCCACTCACATTTTGAAACAAAGATGCATGATTACATAACCATTTTGTAAACGTGGTAAATCTGTGCACTGGTTCCAGTTACAAAATATCATTGCAATAAATGATCTTATGTTCTGTATTACTTAACTACATTTGAATAGATCTTCCATTAAAAGTTCATTCATAAATATAATGTTAGTGCATGGTGGATATCCCTTTTTTATATGAGCTTTTATGTATAATATGCAAAAATGAAAAATATGAAAAACATTCTATTGCTCTTTTTGCCTGGATTACTTAGCAGCTCTGGCTAATTGCAGTGATTTATATCCCTGTCTACTGATTAATTTATTCCTTTCCTTCTGAAATTCTTCAATATCTTTATGTTTTATGATTTCATTGATTTTTTTTTACAAAATAATGCAATTCTCTGCAAATATTTTTTCTTAGGGAAGAAGTACAAGACAATACGGGTTTGAGCTATAAATAAACCTACAAATAATAATTTGTCCAACATAAATCAAGTATCTGACTTAATACTATCAATTAATTTTCTAAATATTAAATAAAAATCTGAAACTATTTCTTTTTACAATTTTAAGAACTCTATTTTAGTATGTAATTTAAGGATCAGTAACTTCTAAAACAGTATGTTCAAATAACCAAAACTTGAAGGAAATATTTTTAACCTTGTTTTGCTATAAATAAAGTAAATGGTCTGTCCTTGGTTAAGTAAATTAACCGTTCTATATGTTGTACTCAGCTTTACCAACTGTCTGTATTTTTCTATTTTTATCTAGGCATCTTCTCATACCCCACAGTATCAGTGACTATTTTTCCAGATAAAATTTACAGAAACTGAAATGCAAATATTTTAAGTAATAAGTGAATGTAATCACTCAAATCCCATGTCTATGTAGTTAGAAATATTTCTACAACCTCAGAGGATCTTTATCTAGTCGGTCATATCCCAAACCAGCTTAGTTGGTCACTAATTTCATTTGCTCATGGTACAGATGTTTAGAATTGCAAAAAATTGAAAAAAATGTGAAATGCATCATATTATGTCCTGGTTCTTTTCACTTGGAATAAGGTCTTCTGGTATTTAGTTATGGTTACATGTATCACGAGTTACTCCCTTTTACTATTTAGAAGTATAATGCAGTATCTGTATTAATGAAAGCATGTGTTTTGTGATCAATAGTATCAGTATACTTCTCTATAATACATGATTCAAATGAGTTGTACAAGTAGGAATTCCATCTAAGGTAGCTCTGATCAGTAAATCTCACTATGTAGTTAAAGAGTTCTTCGTTGTTATAGAATTAGAGGAAAGATTAAAAGTTTCCAAATGGCATTTGGCCCTAACACATAAAAGAATATATAGAGACCATTTGTTTTTAAGGAAATGAAAAATCATGATCTAATCTCAGTTTTAGGGATTAACCATCTATGTTCTAACCCACTCTTCTTTGGATTCTGATGCAACTCAATTTAAAAAACAGTGGGCTATAGAACTTTTACTTTTTTTAACCTACCACTTCTCAACTAAAGCACTAGAATTACTAATGCAAACGTTGTAACCTCCTGTTACTGTTCAGATAGTTTCTTGTGTCTTTCATATTTGTTCACCAGTATGTCAGTCAAGATTTTGACATATAGGTTCTGGAATCATAGCTTAATTCATGCATTCAGTAGGCTACCCTCAGTTGTCATGGTTGGATGAACAAGTTTTTCCCTTAACAGACCTGAATGTGTTATATAATATTAAACCTGAGATATCCTCTTAAACTACAGCCTAACTAAAACTGCCAAAAATAGTGTGTCCAATCACCCTGAAATGTATTGTTCACAAAATTCATGCTTTTTTCACTTTCTTAAATGATGCTCAACTCTCTCACAACTAGTCTACCACTTAAAGCAGCAAAATTCTATTGGATAAAAGTTTTTGAAATTTTGTTTACAGTATTAAAAATGAGAGGTCAAATCTATTCTCTTCATTCCTTTGATAAGTTATCATATACTTCCAAGATTAAATTAGCATATCAAAGACTTTATTATAAGTTGAAAAAAGACAAAAAAAATTGTCTTGTGCTTTCTAAATTGTCTAGGTAGAGCTCTGGACTTCTCCTGAGGAAAGACAGCACAATACATCTGGGAAAACTCATAGATGAGTAATTCAGAGAGGCTATTAGAATTTGAAGTTTCAGTAGAAGCAATGAAAATGTGATAAATTTGTAGAGAAGTGAGAAGAAAAGGGGATTTAGATTTTTATAGATGGCAAACTGAGATATTAAAAATATACAGAAAAAGAATCCAAACCTGATTTAAGGAAAATTAGCTGGGAATATATATGTAAAGTAGGCAAAGAGTGTTCTTATTGTTTTTAAATATTTATTTTCTGAA